CCATTCCCCCCACTCCCACCCCCAATTTCTTTAGGGGGTGTGCCTGCACAAATGGTTTGAAGACCACAGGTCCAGAAGAACAGTGATGTGTAATGAAAAAAGCCTGGTTTTAAAGTTCTATTATGTTTGGGTTCAAGTTTTGGCCTTATCTCTTGGGCCAAGGTAATCGCCTTTTCTGAAGCTGCATTTCCTTGTTTATTAAAATGAAGGTCAAACTTCCCTCAGGCTGCTGGCATAAAATTAGGTGAGAGATATAAATAGCTAGCATTAGTACCAGTGAGTGTTGGTGCCATGCCCCCAACAATCCTGGAACAGTCTCTTCTATTGATGGAGACGGTGTTCTGACAATCACTAAGGCTCTATTTTTAAATTACACATTTATGACGTTTCCTCCTGCATAACAGTTAATTTAACAAGGAAAAAAGTCTGAAGAGTTGGCCCATGTTTGATAGATGGTCTTAATCAAATAGGCATGCTAAAACCAAGGACAGTGGAATTCTAAATACCTAAATCAGTGCTTGCGAGTCAGAGAGACAGCCCTCTGATGCTCTAAGAAACGGTGGGACTTCCTTTCCATCTGCAGTGCACAGCGTTCCTGCTGATGACACACCACCTGTGGGAGCCTCGGGTTCACACCCTGCTGTGTCTTCTCCCACACTCCCATCAGCCTCCTCACGGCTTGGCGAGCGTCCCTCCGGCCGGAGGCTGCCAACGATTCATGAGCAAGGAGCACGCCACGTTCACGAGCCTAGCCCAACGCTCAAACACCGCATGAACAAGCTCAAACAAGGCACAAACACTCAATAAATCAAGTCCTGAAAGAATCTAGTAGTTCTAATGCTTGTAGAATTTTTAAAAACCGAATTATGCTATTCAATGATATCTAAATCTCAAAGGATGTTGAATGTAATTCTGAGGACACAGAGGGGCTGAATGTATCAAGCTGGGCAAGGATATGTGTGGTAAGAAATTCACTACATACTCCATTTCTGCAATTTTTAAAAAACCCTCACCCGAGGATGTTTTCCCATTGGTTTTTAGAGAGAGGGGAAGAGAGAGGGAGAGACAGAAATATCAACGTGAGCAAAACACAACCATTGGCTGCCTTCTGCACTTGCCCCGGCCAGGACCCACACCGGGGGGGGGGGGGGGGCAGGAGGAGGGCAGCCTGCAACTGAGTTATGTGCCCCTGACCAAACGGAACCTGGACCCTTCAGTCTGCAGGCCGACACTCTATCCACTGAGCCACACCGGCTAGGGCCATTGCTGAGATTTTTACACACAGCTGTTTAAACATGTTTTATTATGGAAATTTTCAGACATGCTCAGAAGTAGAGAGGAGAGTATAAAACACTTTTGTATACCTATCGCCTAGCTTCAACAATGATCAATCTTTCATCCATATCTGTTCCCTCTCTCCCACTGTCAGACTATTATGAAGCATATCCCAGAGACCATCCAACTTCATCCATAAACATTTCAGTTACATATAGATTTAAAAATTAACCCTCTTACATTTATTTTTATTTATCACATTTATTAACTTAGCACATCTTTATGAACATGTTTTACACCTGCAGTTCTATTTCTGGTTAAAGCTTCTTTTACTAAATCATTTATTAGTGCTTCTCTCTATCCTTTCCTATAGACTTGTATAAACCGCTCCCAGTGTTTAACTGGAAACTGACCATCAAGAAATAGCTCAACAGGTTCCTGAAAAGCATTATCGTCCTGGGAGTCCAGGGAGGCGACTCAGGGGGTTGTGCATGCTCGGAGAGGTGCATGCGAGCAAGGGAGAGCCGAAGGGTCCTCAGCAGCACCAATTCTTTGTCCTGGGGAAGGCTCCCAGGAGCCCACAGACATTGCGATGATGTCATTTTGGTTTTGAGAAACCAGCGGCCCTGCCTGTGACCACAGCTACTTCAGAGGAGGTCTGCCTTCGGGCTGTGATGCAGAACCACCTGGGAGCCTCTGAAGGTAGAGATTCTCAGGGTGAAAACCAACAGCAGGTCTCCTGGGGAGATTTTTATGTGCGGCCCTCAGCCCCGGTGCTGTGTAAGGACCAACTGTACCACGTTTATTTATCCATCCACCACTGAAGAACATTTTGGTTCTTTCCAGTTCAGTGTGATTATTTAAAGCTGCTATAAATATCCATGTGAGGTTTTTTTTTTGTGTGTGTGTGTGTGTGTTTTTGTGTGGATATAGTTATCAATTTGTGTTATTTAGAAGTACATTGTTTTCTCCCCAAGTATTTTGGGGTTTTCCAGGCATCTTTTTATTATTGATTACCAGTTTGATTTCATTGCGGTCTGAGAGCATACTTTGCATGAGGCTTTTAAGCTTGTTCAGATGTGTGTTAAGCCCCGAATGTGATCTCTCTCGGTAAATGTGAGCTTGGGAAGGATGTGTGTTCTGTTGTTGTGGATGAACCACATGAAATGACAAAGATCTCAGTTGGATCCTGTTGATTGATAATGCTTTGCAGTTTAGCATTATCAATGGTTACTGATTTTCTGTCTGCTGGTTCTGCCAGTATTGAAAGAGGGGTATTGAAGTCTCTAACTATAATAGTGAAGACATAATTGCATTGAATCTATAGATTGCTTTGGATAGTATGGACATTTTAATGATGTTAATTCTTCCTATCCAGGAACACAGTATATGCTTCCATTTATTTGTAGGTGAGATTCATGATGATGGAAGGAGACTTGACTTGGGGTGATGAATACACAATACAATATATGCAAATGATGTATTGTAGAACTGTACACCTGAAAACTATATAATTTTACTAGAGGCCCAATGCACAAAATGTGTGCAAAGGGCTTGGCCCTCGCAGCTGCAGCAGCTTGCCTCAGCCCTCACAGCCCCTGCCGGCTTCGTCCAGAAGGTCATCTGGAAGGATGTCTGGAAGGTTGTTTGGCTGTCCGGTCTAATTAGCATATTATGCTTTTATTACTATAGATTAGCTAATGTCACCCCACTAAAATCAGTGGAAATGGACCAGGACTTTCATGCCCAAAATAATGGATATGTGTATGTGTGTGTGTGTGTGTGTGTGTGTACATGTGTGTGTGTTTCATATGTGTGTCCTTGCAGTTTTTTCAGTTTTTGCCTCATGTGTTATGTCTTTTTGGGTAACTGACCCCTTTATCATTACACAATGCCCCTCTTTATCCTTGTATGAAAGATTGGTATTGGTATTTTTTCTTTAAATATTCAACAAAATTCACTGGTAAAAACATTTGCCTTTTTTATGGGAAGATTTAAAATTTACTAATTCAATTTCTTTCTTGCTATACGTCTGTTCATATTTCTCTTTCTTTTTGAGTCACTTTTGGCAATTTGTCTTTTTAGAAATTTATCCATTTCACCTAAGTTGTACAGCTTATTGATATGAAGTCGTTGATATGGTACTTCCTTATAATTCTTTTAATTGCTGTACCCTTTTTAATTCCTGATTTGGGGGGGGAAAGTATACAATTCACTGATCTTCAATGTATTCACAAGACCATGTAACTATAACCATAATCTAATTGCAAAACATTTTTACCATCTCCCAAAACCACCCATATCCACTAGTAGTCCCTATTCTCCTTCCCCCAAACCCTTGGCAACCACTAACCTATTTTGTATCTGGATTTCCTTATTTGGGGCATTTCATATAATTAGAACATACAACATATGGTCTTTCACTTAGCATAAGATTCATCCATATGGCAGCATGTATCAGTACCTCATTCCTTTTTAGGCTGAATAATGTTCGTTACATGGACATATCACATTTTGTTTATACCCTCATCAGTTGATGGACATTTATGTTGTTTCTACTTTTTGGCTATTATGAATACTGCTGTTATGAACATTTCTGCTTAAGTTTTTGTGTGGTGCACCTTTTTAATTAGCATATTATCTCAAGGTTATGAGCTAAGTACCTAGTCACTCAGGAAACTGGAGGCTGGAGAGTATGTTTTTTGTCTGTGTGTTTATATGTTTGTCTTTCTATGTGTGGGAACAACCCAAGTTCTTGGATGTTTACACAGAGTCATTGGGTTTAAGAAGAAGCCAGAAGGGCTGAGTCAACCGTAATATCTTAACTCTGCCCTGCATGCTTCAACTCCCTGGCTCCATCCTCACCTTCTGTTCTGAACCACAGTGTAAGTGGAAATGGACCAGGACATCCATGCCCAAAAAAGCCATTGTATACATACACACACACACACAAATGTATATTTCTACCACGCTTTTCAGATAAAAGGAAAAGTGGTATGTATCATTTTGTTACTCAAGAAAAGCAATGGTAAAATCCTGCTCTCAAGTTAGTGGGAGGGGAAAAATCATCTGTCAATCAATAGACGTGATGATGCCCAAATATTACTTTGGTTAGAAAAATAATCCCACATAAACTCCCACTTTTCTCTCTTTTGGTCCTAAAACTTTCAACACTGTCATGCAGTGCATCTGTGCATAAAAGCATGTGCGAGCCAGACAGCTGTTCACCAGTGTCCTCTAGCTTGATTCCTAGTAATCCGTCCAGTTTTGGCCTTCCTCCTAGACTCTTTCCCATCATCTATCACTTGGCCCCGAAATGGTTGTGAGAATTCTTCCTCCCAGTCTTTGTTCTAAAATTGAATCCGAACTGTGGGAGGGAGGGAGGGGGGCAAAAAAAAGATCAATAAAATATGTAAAAATAAATAAATAAATGATTTAAAAAAATAAAAAAATAAAATTGAATCTGAACACTCTTTGTTACCTCATAAAGCCGAGCCACGCAATGTTTATGTGCAACTCTGTTATCTCGTTCTGGATAAAGGCAGTGAGGTGAGTTACAAATAACTAGAGAAAACCAAAGGGTAAACAATGTTCTCTAAGAGTAAGGGAAATCTGATCCAGGATAAGACAAGAGATACAGTACTTGACTAAAAGTTGGCCTGATCTGGCCAAACAAGACTGCATGCGACACATTCAGGTGTACGGTTTAAGACGAGATTCTGTACCTGCTTGTCGAAATATCCTCAAAAGGGTAGAGGATCTCTCCATTGTTGCAGATTTCACAGATGAACCCCTTCTGGCTGCAAAGACTGCAGCTGTACACGTGAGCGCTGGCAAATTTAATGACCTTGCCCAGGAATGGAGCCAGCTTCCCCTCTATTACCTGCCGAAAGAGAAATGGAACAGGGAAAGCCATTGAGCGCAGAAATCTTGCAGATGAGGAGAACTGGAATTCCTTTCCTTTACACAACAGGAAAACCTCTAATTATAATTTCTCAGCAACTCTGAGAAAGAAAAGACATAGTATTTTCGCTGCAAAAGAACCCTCTGGTTTAAACCGCTGGAGGCTGGAAAATGAAGATGTTGAAACTTCTTTTGTATTCTTCTTCCTTTGTAGTGGGGTGTAAGGGACTGAAGACCAACAAACAGGGAGCCCCCCTTGCCTGGGCCGGCTTGCAGTTATGGTGTGGTGTCAGAGGAATGCGGCGGGGTTCCCGGAACAGACTGAACACATCAGGGTGAGTCTGAATGTAGACCTTCATGCTTTCTGTTGTCTATTCAACAATTCCCTTTCTCTGGTGAATTAATAGGAAAGTTTTTTTTCACCATTTCCCCCAAGAACACAGAACAAATGTGGAAAAATGGTTTCTTTTGCTGACAAGTATATTAATATAAAGAGGCTGCAAATTTGGCAGGCAGAGGGTCATATTCAGCCTGAAGAGTTTTTAAAAAAATCTCTTAGTGTTTTAAAGAATGAGCCATTTTAACAATTGGGAGCCTGGCTGGTGTGGCTCAGTGGTTGAGCGTCGACCTAGGAGCTAGGAGGTCACTTTCTAAGATTCCTGGTCTGGGCACACGCCCTGGTTGCAGGCTTGGTCCCCAGTGTGGGACGTGCAGGAGGCAGCCAATCAATAATTCTCCTTCATTATTGGTGTTTCTATCTCTCTCTCCCTCTCCCTTTCTCTCTGAAATAAAAAAAAGATCTATTTAAAAATAAAGAAAAATAATTGGGATATTTCACATAAAATTGAGTATTTAGGGTTTCTTTTGAAGAATCATTAGATCCAGCAGAGCTAGGCCTGAACTCTAGCACGGTGATGATCCTGCCTGCCACAGCAGCTTGCTCCCCACCGCACGTGCCTCCTGTCCATAGCTGTCCCCCCAGGCCCGTGTCTTGCATCTGCCTCCTCCCACAGTACCACACTGCAAGCAATCTGGCTTTGGAACCAATGGTTTGTCTGCTCTCTCCTCACTTCCCTAAAACGATGGGCTTCAAAGTGTTCAGCAGTTCGTGTACCAACAAGATAAAATTTAATTTGAAAATAGTTAACAATAGCCGAGACCGGTTTGGCTCAATGGATAGAGCGTTGGCTTGGGGACTGAGAGGGAAAGATAGAAGTATCAATGATGAGAGAGAATCATTGATATGCTGCCTCCTGCACACCCCCTACTGGGGATGCAACCCACAACTTGGGCATGTGCCTTTGACTGAAATCGAACCGGGACACTTCAGTCCGCAGGCCCATGTTCTATCCATTGAGCCACACTGTCTAAGGCTGAAGTGGTTTTAAAGGTCACATGATGTTTTCAAAATAACAGTATTAACTTTAGGGAAGGGAAGAAATGGGAAAAGCAAATCTTTCACTTTGTATACAGGTGTCTTTTTGCATTTTTAAAAACAATGTATATCGTGTTGCATCAAGGTACAGAAAGTGAACAGAAAAATCAGGTTTACTGCTTTATAAAAGTGGATCCCCGCCCCCCCCCCCCCCCCCCCCCCTAATACAAGAGGGTAGAAATTATGCTGGCTGTTTTTCTGTCAAGCAAGTCCGTGTTCCACTATTCTTTAACTTATTTCCTCTTTGGAAAGCCATAGATAGAGCTCTTTTTATTTTTATTTTCTCAAGGACCATTAACTTCGATAAACCCCAGTAAAGCATACTCCTAATACCAACACATGACACACTTTCTAAGAAATAACCACCACCAAGTCATATACCCAACCACCAGCAAACACTTTCCGGTGTGTCATAGGGTTATTTCTAAACTGTGGTGACAATTCTTCAGTTCCACTTGGTTTTGCTTACATTACTCTTTCCTAAACAACCAAGATTAATGACACATTTAAAGAGAGGCACAAACTACAGTCCACTCAGGGGAAAGCATCAGGATGTAGAACAGTTCTGGACACCAGGGGAGTGAAGGCTGCTTAAGGAACCGAGGGTGAGAAGAGAAGACCTCAAGGAGGACCTGACAGTTATCACCTGGGATCTAAAGGAGCAGACCGGGCATCTTGTGCATAAAGCTTTCTTATTTATTTATTCATTCATTCATTTATTTATTTATTTATTTATTTATTTATTTATTTATTTAAAGCGAAATCCCCAGTTTTTAAAAAAATATTGTTTAATTGATTTCCTTTACAGAGAGGATAGGAAAGGGAGTTAGGAACAGCGATGAGAGATAAGCTGCCTCCTGCACATACTGGAGATGTGTCAGCAACCAAGGCACATGCCCTTGACCCAGGAATCCAACCTGGGACCCTTCAGTCTGTAGGCCGACGCTCTATCCTCTGAGCCAAACTGGTTAGGACAAGCTTTTCCCATTTTAGATGATCTCCTTGAGGCAAAGGGTATGAGAATTTTTCAGGCTTTTGAAATATCTCACCAAACTTATTTAATAAACTTTAAAAAAATTAATTTGGGGACTGATAGCTTTATAATAGCTAGTCTTCCTATCAAAGAACCTGATCTAGATATCCATTTTATTACATTTTCACTTATTATAGTTTTAATAATTTTTTTTCTTCCCTTGTACATACCACTCACATTTATTATACTTAGGTTATTTCAAAATTGAATTTTGTGTAATATTTTTTCTCATTAGCCATTGCTGATATATTAGGATATATTGGCATTTGTGTATACCTTATATATGACTATAATTTTACTGTATTTTCAGGAATGCAAAGCATTTTTAAGGGATTCTTTTGGGTTTTCTGAAAGTAATAAACTGGTCCCTTCCTTTCTAATATTATATCTCTTATTTATGTTTCATGTCTTTTGCATCACTCAGTGCTCCTCACACAATATAAGAAATAATGGTGTTAGAATCAAACTGGAAATTATGGGGTGTAGTGAGTGGCTCATTTTCTCCATGAGGAACATATATATTGTCATTCACCACATTTTATTGATTTCCTCTCTTTTTAAATTACAGCTTTAGTGAGATATAATCACATACCATGTAATTCACCTATTTAAAGTCTACAATTAAATGGCGTTTAGTTTATTCACAGAGTTGTATACTATCAATTTTTGAGCATCTCTTCCACTCTTCCAAAAAACCTTGTATCCATTAGCAATTACTCCCTTTCCCCTAGACCAGTGTTTTTCAACCTTTTTTGGGCAAAGGCACACTTGTTTCATGAAAAAAATCACGAGGCACACCACCATTAGAAAATGTTAAAAAATTTAACTCTGTGCCTATATTGACTATATATAAAGTAATTCTCTCGAATAGGAATCAAATAAACACAAAGAAAGTATTTTATAATTACTTTATTATGAAATATTAAGTAAACAAAATAGTGAAAAATTATAAAATTCTTGTCTTGTCTGCACCTACGGCACACCAGGCAACATCTAGTGTGCCGCGGAACAGCGGTTGAAAAACGCTGCCCTAGACTACTCCCCAAGACCTAACCAAGCACCAGTCTAATCTCTGTCTCTATAGATTTACCTATTTGGGGCATTTCATATAAATGGAATGATACAACATGTGTCTTCTCTCACTTAGCTTAACATTTTCAAGGTTCAAGTTGATTCTCTTCTAAATACCTCTAGTGTAAATCTCCTTTCCCATCCTGCCCCACACTCTTATCTCTCCTGTCAGTCTTCTAGTTTTATTTCCAGATGCCTGTCTTTTTCCTTTGATCTGACCATAAAATATATATACTAATTAGTTTTAGATACCACTTTCATCATGTATCATCTCTTCCCTCAAACCTTGGTGAATTATGATTTTATCATTATTAAAAACTCTTCACTCATTCATTTCAGAGAATTATATTGAATTACCATGTCCCATATTCTTCATACAAGAGTGAACTGGGCCAAACTGGAGCTTACATTTTGCCCGGGGTGCAGGTAGTCCATAAGCTGATTCCACATTACCTATCCAAATTCATTTTCCATTTCTTATGATGTAACTTCTGTTGTGAGCAGATGTTTCCTCATGGAGAGTGTGCGTACTCTTGTTCTTGTGCCTTCACCCATGTCATTTCCTCTGTCTGAAGTTCCGCTTCTCTTCTCAAACACTTTTTTGACTTCACCTAGGCTTCATGGCTCTGATCTGTTCTGGCTTGATCTGGAAAGCCATCTTTGGCAACTTCACTGTTTGGATCTCTTGTGCTTCACATAGATTACTTTTACATCATGCACACCATGTAATTTAATATAAAACTTGATGCTGTTTAGTACTCTTTACTAATGCTTAACATGTGATTGTTTTGCTTATCCAACTGTTGATTGAATATCTCAAAATGGTGATCCTAACTATAAAGTGGTGATTTTACTTTAAAAAAAATGTAAATTTTATATGGAGTAACCTAAGAGAATGTAAATTGCTTGGAGGCAAGACTGAGTCTCATACTTGTCTTAAATATCCCATTTCTGCCAGGCATCTAAGCTCTTGTTGATTGACCAAGGATGCTTTCTCCTCTTTTTCCTTGGCTGCAGTGGTTATATCTTAGGGCTGTTTTTGTGTCACAAATATTTTCAATCATTCTGCGGGGTGATTTAGGGAGGAGCATAAAGAGTGTATGGCTCTGGTGGAAGCTCAGCTATTCAGGGACTCCTTTGGCTTCTTTTCATTTGATTAATTGCTCTTCCTATTTGTCAGCTTAAGTTCATGGCCATGTTCCAAAGGGCTAAAGCTGCTGAAAGATTTCCTTCCAGAAAGTGAGGTAATAGTCTATGTTTTAGAATTTACAAACATATCTTTAATATTTCAGAAAGGAAAAGTTTATACTTATAATTGTCCAGGGATAAAGATATATTTAGAAGGTTTAAATCTTATCTTTGACTACAACTACTAGCAGCACTGGGAACAGGATTCAACTATTCTGGTTTCTTGTCTAGAGGTTTCATCGCAACAAAGTAG